AGTGACGGCTGCCAGCCCCAATTGCCCCTCAGAGCTTCTTTACCTCCCCCTGCTCCTGAGGGGTGAATGAGGCTGGCAGTCCTCTCTCGTACCCGCTGCTGGCGACAGCCCTGCTCACACCTGCTACTGTCTCTGGCCCCCGATCACACTCGCACCCACTGCCGGCACCTGGTGCCGGTCCCAATTGCTCCACACCATTAACGGGTACGAGGAGCAGCTGCCACTCTCACCCGCTGCTGGCGCCAGCCTCAGTGGCTCCGCGCCCTCAGCAGGTGTGAGCAGTGCCAGAGCCGTCAGCACATGGAAGCAGTGGTGGTGGGGCTGCTGGCAGACAGGGAACCAGGGGCCATGGTAGGAGGGGCCAGGCTGAGACCTGCCCCTGTGCCCACTACAGCATCATGGCCAACAGTTCCTTTGAAGGTGCACGTATTCATACCCTGGGCCCCTAGTATGCCAATAAGCTAGGCAATGTGGATGAAATGGACAAATTCATAGAAAAATATAATCTCCCAAAACTGAATTGGGAAGAATCAGGAAATGAATAGGCCAATAACAAAAGATGAAACAGAAGCAGTAATAAAAATACTCCTGGCAAAGAAAAACCCAGGTCCAGACAGCTTCACAAGAGAGTTTTAACAAACACTTAAAGAACAACTGTCTCCGATACTCCTAAATCTATTCCCAAAAAATCCAAGAAGAAGCAACACTCCAAGCTCACAACACCAGATTTCAAGTTATAGTACAAAGCCATTGTAACCAAAACAGCTTGGTACTGGCACAAGAACAAGCTTATAGATCAATAGAACACAGCAAAGACCCCTGAGATTGACCTAAGACATTACACTCAATTAATATTTGACAAGGAGGCAAGAGCATACAGTGAAGTCAAGAGAGTCCCCTCAATAAAATGTATTGGGAAAATAGAGTACATACAAAAAAAAAAAAAAAAAAAAAAAAAAAAAAAGAAACTAGACCACCAACTTACACCATACACAAGAATAAACTCTAAATGGATAAAAGACTTTAATGTAAATTGTGAAACCATAAAAATCCTAGAAGAAACCATAGGCAGCAAAATCTCCGACATCTCTCATAGTGATGTTTACAGATACATTTCCTAGGGCAGTGGTCGGCAAACTCAGTCCACAGAGCCAAATATCAACGATACAACGATTAAAATTTATTTGGAGAGCCAAATGTTTTAAACTTAAACTTCTTCTAACACCACTTCTTCAAAATAGACTCACCCAGGCCATGGTATTTTGTGGAAGAACCACACAAGGGGTCAAAGGGCCGAATGTGGCTCGCGAGCTGCAGTTTGCTGACCACGGTCCTAGGGCAAAGGAAATTAAGGAGAAAATAAACAAATGGAACTACATCAAAATAAAAAGCTTCTTCACAGCAAAAGAAACCAGCATTAAAATGGAAAGGGAGCCTACTGCATGGGAGAACATATTTGGGAATGATACATCTGTAGGTGATCGCGCTGTGAGGGAGCAATGACAAAGGACTAATATCCAAAATGTATAAGGAACTCACACAACTTAACAGAAGGAAGACAAACAATCCAATTAAAAAATGGGCCAAGGACCTAAATAGATACTTCTCCAAGGCATACATACAGAAGGCCAAGAGACATGAAAAACTGCTCAAACTCACTCATCACCAGAGAGATGCAAATTAAAACGGCAATGAGGTATCACTTCACACCTTTCAGAATAGCTACCATCAACAAATCAACAAATGACAGTGCTGGCGAGGATGTAGAGAAAAGGGAGCCCTCATGCACAGCAGGTGGGAATGCAGACTGGTGCAGCCATTATAGAGAACAGTGTGGAGTTCCCTCAAAAATTAAATATGAAACTGCCATCTGACCCAGTGATTCCACTTCTACGAATATATCCTAAGAAATGTGAAAAACCATCAGAAATAATATATGCATCCCTATGTTCATAGCAGCACAATTTATAATAGTTAAGATCTGAAAACAGCCCAAGTGCCCATCAGTAGATGAGGGAATTAAAAAAAGCTGTGGTACATTTACACTATGGAATACTATGCAGCAGTAAAAAAAGAAGGATCTCTTACCCTCTAAGACAGCATGGAGGGGCCTGGAGAGTATTATGCTAAGTGAATAAGCCAGTCAGAGAAAGACATGATCTCACTCATATGTGGAATCTAAAGAACAAAATAAACTGATGATCAAAGTAGATCCAGAGGCATAGAACAGACTGTGCAATCTCAGAGGAAAGGTGGTGAAGGAAGAGATCAACCAAAGAATTTAATATGGATATGCAAAACCCACAGACACGGACAATAGAGTGGTGAAGGCCTGGGGCAGGGGTGGGCTAGAAGGGTTCAGTAGGTGGAAAAATGGGACATATGTAATCCTTCAACAACAAAGATTTAACTTAATAATAATAATAGTAATAACAACTTCTAACTACTACAATCTAGCAAGTACATCATCTTATTCAATCCTCATGACAACTCTTAAGTGGTAGCTACAGGATTTCCACAGCAAAATCACACTGCCAGGCTGCCAGGCTGTCGTGGACCAAGGCGTTAAACCTTAAGGCCTGTATTTAGCTTATGTTCAATCCTTAATCCTATACTTGACACATTTACAAGAGGCATTTTCTATACAACATAGCACTCAAGTTGTTCTAACTTAGATCAGAAGCTCCTGCTGTCTTTAAAAGTGATGTTTAGAACGAATCACAACACTAGCTTAGCAGATTGTACTTTTTCTTGAAGCATCAGACTGGATATATGCTGTGGGTCAGAGGAAGATGAAGGGTCAAGAGGGCAGTGGTTAAATACACAGCCCAGCTTAACATGTTAGAATTACACATAGAGAACTAACAGAACAGTCACCAATGATCAAAGTAGAGCAAATTAGAATTTAAATCAATGGCACAAATGCCTTCTCTTGATTTTTATAGAGCAACTAGCTCACCCTTGTGGACGAAAAACATAATCACCTTTTTAAAACACTGTGCTAGAACTGAGAAAACTGATTTAAACCAGTAGATATCCTTAAGTTTGAGCTACATGGCATATACAGTTACTATCTATATTGTGCTTAAACTCAAATATAAATCCAAGAATTTACTGAAAACAATATAACAAGAATCATTATTTAAAAATGAGTTTCTTCTTTTTAAAAAAAAAATATTTTATTGATTTTTTACAGAGAGGAAGGGAGAGGGATAAAGAGCTAGAAACATCGATGAGAGAGAAACATCGATCAGCTGCCTCCTGCACACCCCCCACTGGGGATGTGCCCACAACCAAGGTACATGCCCTTGACTGGAATCGAACCTGGGACTTTTCAGTCCGCAAGCAGTCCACTGAGCCAAACTGGTTTTGGCTAAAATGAGTTTCTTTATGGCAGCAGAGTCAATTCTAAAAGATTAGAGTAGCAATTTTTCAATCTGGTAGAAATCACCTAAACTCTAACAAAACCTAACTACAAAAAAAAAATTTCTGCAATATTTACTTTTTCTATAACTATTTACTAAGTACCTATTTTGTAACATGCATAAAGTTAGATTCTAAATATAGGACATATAATGGGCTATTGCTTTTCTATGTAGAAAATCAAAATAAGACATGCAATAGAGACCCTATAGCTACTCTGACTTTAGTAATCAAAGAAGACAACTCCAGAAACCTGGAAACAACCCAAAGTTCCATCAGTAGTCAACAGCACAAATGTCTACCAATCATGATGCAAATATATAACAGAATACTGGAGACAGATGAAAAGTACCAGCTACAATTGTGCTAACTTAAAAGATATACAATGTATACCACAAACTTAAGACAAGGTAAGAAGAGAATATGAGTCTATGTATATAAATTTCTTAAAGCATTTATTTAGATGTGGGCATATCCATTAAAAATATAGCCCTAGCTGGTCTGGCTCAGTGTTGGAGACTGTGGACTGAAAGGTCTAGGGTTTTATATGGGTCAAGGGCACGTACCTCAATTGCAGGCTCAATCCCTGGCCTGGGTCAGGGCCTGAGCAGGAGGCAACCAATCGATGTCTCTCTCTCACATCGATGTTTCTATCTCTGTATCTCTCCCTCTCCCTTCCACTCTCTCTAGAAATCAATGGAAAAAATATCCTTGGGTGACGATTAAACATTAACAGTGATACTTTAAAAAGAGGAATTTTAAGTGGGAGATTCTATATTCTACTTAATGTGTATACATACATGATATATGAGTGTGTGTGTATTCCTTTAATTTAAACACTGAAATTTTACTTTTAATATACAAATAAAGCCAAATCAATATGACAGGAAATATGGGCCTTATACTCTTGATCTATCTAAAACTGTTATAATTCTAATTTACACTTAATAAACCAACCTCTACTAAAGAAGGCAGTAATAAATTGAACACCTAAGAAAGGACACTGTGGATAATGTTTGCTTAATGTTAAATATGGCATATGGCATAGCCATCTCCTGTGATTCATGACCCAACTCCCAACCCCAGTTCAGCTGTCATTGGTAAAAACTGGTTCACCTGATGCAGGTATAAGGATAACTATTCCAACTTCTACTTAAATCCATTTAGAAAAAAACTGGGAGGACATATCAAATTCATACAACAGACAAAGGGAATAAAAACCGGGTCTTCTCCCACCACTCTAACACTCACATGACCTTCCCACAAAGGAATGTTCAGATCTCTCAAGCTGCTTCCTCAACTACAAATATCCTATGTGCTAATTCTCCTAAGTTTACTAAATACATTATTTTAAAAGGACTCCAATGATTCAGAAGTAAAACATACTCCAGGACAATTTAGACAAATAATCTAATGTTGAGTAGCATTTTCCAACCCACGTTGTGTTGAGTAGCATTTTCCAACCCACGTTGAGGACCCTGTTTCCAAAAGTAGCAAACCAAAAAAATACCTACTCACTCTATGAGGACGTAAAAAAAAAAAAAAAAAAAAAAGAGCCTATTTTTTTAGTATCTTACCTAAAGCAGCATGATTTTCTTGCTCCTGACTCTTTCCCATAAAGGCCATCATCTCTGAATACATATCAGTCCACCAAGGGTTATACTGCAAAGCCTGTTCAACTGCCTCATCTTCAAAAAAGTCGGCTCTGGGAAAAACAATGAATGTTAGGTGGGCTTCTGTACAGGCTTTGTCTGGGTTTAATGCTTTCTGATTTATAACTCATTACATTTTCATTAGAAATTCAGAGTACATTTCAAAGAAAGATGAGCACTACGTTTAATTTACTTTAGTAATCATCATAAAATGAAAGTAAGCAACTAACTAAAAGGATAGCTGACATTTATGATCTCTTACATGGGAGTACACGGTAGACTGGTCTTACCCTAACAGCCTATCCCCTGCTCTACAATGGTGTGGGATGATGTGAAACTGAACACACAATGGACTGAAGCCCAGCCTTTGTCCTAGATTTGCAAATATCACAGATTCTGGTAAAATTACAACATAGAAAAGGATCTCTTAACTCCACCAACAAAAAAAACTAAACATGTGAGTAGAAAATTTAGGATACTGAATATCCACACGCAGGCTACATACATGTCACTGTTTAGTTTCTGCACTCATATTTTCTTACCAAAACACAATCTTAATAGGTCCTTAAATTAAAACTACTGAAAAAGATAAAAATAACCTTTGTTGAGAACAGAAAATTAATTTTCCTTCACTTCACTTTCTTAATTTTAGCTGGAAAAATAAATGCTATATTTGAAATACACCTTGGAGGACACTTGTTCAGAAAATATGCTATCCCTCATTCAAAGTTGGAAACTGGTATTCTTGGGGTAACAAAGAGAAAAAGTATTATAGTGAAAAATTCATTTATATTTTAGTTAATTAGAAACTCAAGCGATTGAGGTTTTAATAAATTGGATTTTCTAGCTGATAGTTTTATGACCTTAAATATATTTTTCTTTCAAGTGAGATACTGAAATCTTTTTAAAATTAGAAATATCACAGATAACAAATTCTTCATATGTGCCAAGCACTTTACTAAGTACTTCTCATTCATTTTTTTTTTTTTTTTTTGAATTTTCACAGTCCCAATGAGAGGGGATACACCCTGCCCATTTTACATGGGTGGAAACTGAAGTTGTACATCATGGCTACGATAAAAAAAAAACACATACACAAAAAACACACACACAGTAAGAAGTGTGGCCCTGAATTTAGACCCACTTAAGTTTTACTCCAGAATCCAAGTTAGCAATCAAAATAAGTGTTCTATCTTTATGCTTAAGAAAATAAAGTACATACTGGACAAAACTGAATAGCAATGATGTTGAAACAATAATTCTCAATATCAATTTTCAGGCACACAAAGCATTTGGGGCCAGGATGAAGCAGTTGCTTTATAAACCAATCCTGTGAAGAGTCTCTTATTAGCCATCTGTGGGAAGTCAGGGCCTCCTCTGCTAGGAGCTGTACCCACCTGGACACCAGGTGTTAGACTCACTAGTATCAGAATAGTGAATAGACTCAAACAATATCAGAAATGAAAGAGGCAAAGTTACAATTTACACCACAGAAATACAAAGGACTATACAAGAATACTATAGGGGGGAAAAAGAATACTATGAAAGGCTAAACACTGCCAAATTCAATAACCTAAAGCACATGTGTCAAACACAAGGCCCACGGGCCAAATCCGTCCCGCCAGGCCTTGCAATGTGGCCCACACCGCGCTGTCATCACTGCACTCCACTGCGTTTCCATCACAATGACAGTTTATGACTGTTCAGTAAACCATTCGGCCCGCGATTTAGGCTGGATTTTAGATTTTGGCCCCTTCTCTGATTGAGTTCGACACCCCTAACCTAAAGAAATGGACAACTTTGTAGAAATGTATAATCTTCCTAGTCTAACTCATGAAGACTTGGGAAATCTAAATAGATCAGTCACAGTGAGAAAATTAAAATAACCACTAAAGACCTCCCAGAAAGCAAAAGTCCAGGACCAGATGGATTTACTAGTGAATTCTACCTGTAGATGAGCTTGCTGCTGAGATCTGGCTGATCGAACTTAGCGAGATGGGCCAGCCATGCCCTGGAGCCCTCCCGCAGTCCCTGCCCAGGTGGCCAATGCGCCCCCCCTCCCATTCCTCCCAAGCCCCGATCATGCACCAGTGGGGCTCCTCGGCCTCGCCTGCCTCCTCTCACAATCCGGGACCCCTCGGAGGATGTTGGACTGCCGGTTTTGGCCCAATCCACACAGGCCAGGCCGAGGGACCCCACCAGTGCACGAATCTGTGCACCAGGCTGTATTCGGCCCTATTATCGCAGGCCAGGCAAGGGGACGCTGGGTCTCTACTATATATGTGTGTGTGTGTGTGTGTGTGTCTGTCTATGTGACCGAACAACTGGTCAACTGGTCATTATGATGTGCACTGACCACCGGGGGACAGACACTTAACGCAGGAGCTGCCCCCGGGTGGTCAGTGTACTACCACAGCGGGAGCGCCACTCAATTGACTAATGAGTGCCAGACACAGGGCTCACGGCTGGCCACTGCAGTCCAGAGACTGCAGCAGGGCAGCAGGGAGTCTACCAAGTGGTGGCAGCAGCAGGTGCAGTGGGGTCAGGTTTAGCAGGAGAGGCAAGTGGTGTAGAACTGCCAGTTTCAGCCCAATCCCCACAGGCTACACCAAGGGAGTCCACTAGTGCAGGAATCCGTGTACCAGGCCTCTAATATGCATATAAGATCTTTGGTTAATCTATTTCTATCCTCCTGCCAAAACCGGTTTGGTTCAGTGGGTAGAGCGTCACCTGCAGACTGAAAGGTCCCAGGTTCAATTCTAGTCAAGGGCATGTACCTTGGTTGTGGGCACATCCCCAGTAGGGGGTGTGCAAGAGGCAGCTGTTTGATGATTCTCTCTCACTGATGTTTCTAACTCTATCCCTCTCTCTTCCTCTGTTAAAAATCAATAAAATATATGTTTTAAAAAAATTTTTTTAAGTTATTTATAAAAATTAAAAGAAAAGATATTTCTATCCTCCCTCCTCTCCCTTCCCTCTGAGATCCATCAGTCTGCTCCACGTTTCCATACCTGTGCTCTGAGCGTCTGGTCCCTGGTGGCCAGTGTGCATCATAGCTGTCAGTCAAACGGTCACTTAGACTTTTATATATATACTAAAGGCCTGGTGCATGAAATTTGTGCGGGGGGCGGGGCGGTGGTGTCCCTCAGCCCACACTGCAGCCTCTCGATTCTGGGACCCCTCAGGGGATCCCTCGAGGGATGTCCAATTGCCCGTTTAGGCCCAATCTGACCAGGTAGTCAAACATCCCTCTTACAATCCAGGACTGCTGGCTCCCAACTACTCACCTGCCTGCCTTCCTGATTGCCCCTAATTGATGCCTAACTGTTCCCCTGCACTATTTGCCCCCAACTTCCCTCCTCTGCCGACCTGGTAACCCCTAACTACTCTCCCCTACAGGGTTGATTTCCCTCAACTGCCCTCCCTTGCAGGCCTAATCCCTCTCAACTGCCCTCCCCTGCTGGCCATCTTGTGGTGGCCATCTTGTGTCCACATGGGGGCAGAATCTTTGACCACATGGGGGCAGCCATCTTGTGCATTGGAGTGATGGTCAAACTGCATATTACTCTTTTATTAGGTAGGATAGAGGCGTGGTGCATGGGTGGGGGCCGGTTGGTTTGCCCTGAAGGATGTCCTGGATAAGTGTGGGGATTCCCTGGGGCATGGGGTGGCCTGGGTGAGGGGCCTGTGGTGGTTTGCAAGCCAGCCATGCCCCCTAGCGACCCAAGTGGAGGCCCTAGTATCTGGGATTTATTTATCTTCTATAATTAAACCTTTGTAGCCTGGAGCGGAGCTAAGCCTTCTGCTTGCTCTGTGCCGGTAGCCATTTCTGTTGAAATTTATGTATCTTCCATAATTGAAATTTTGTAGCCTGAAGTCAAGGCCTGAGAGGGCCAGGGCTACAAAAGCTTGGCTTCCTCCATTGCCTCCTGTTCTTCCAGCTCAGTAGCTGCTGCCATTTGTTGGAATTTATTTACCTTCTATAATTGAAACTTTGTACCCTTGAGTGGAGGCCCGGGCCCACCAGGGTGTGTGGAAAGTTTGGCTTCCTCCAATTGCCGGAGAAACCCAAGCCTCCTGCTAGCTCCATGGCTGCAGCCATTTTTGTTGGGATTTATTTATCTTCTATAATTGAAATTGTAGCCTTGAGCAAAGGCCAGGGCCAAGAGGGCGGAAAGTCTCGCTTCCTCCATCACTGGGGAAACCCAAGTTGCCTGCTCGTTTTGTGGCAGAAGCCATCTAGGTTGGGTTAATTTGCATACTTGCTCCTGACTGGCTGGTGGGCATGGCTTGTGGGTGTATTGGAGTGATGGTTAATTTGCATGTTACTCTTTTATTAGATAGAATAAATACCTGCATGGTCATAGACCAGGCTGAGGAATCCCACCAGTGCACGATCAGAGCTGGGGAGGGAAGGTTCCAGAGTGTGTCTGGCCAGTTTTGCAGTCCCGGGTGGGATCAGGCCTAAACAGGCAGTCGGACATCCCTCTCACAATCCAGAACTGCTGGCTCCACACTGCTTGACTGCCTGATTGTCCCTAACCGCTTCTGCCTGCCAGCCTGATCATCCCTTAACCACTCCCCTGGCAGCCTGAAAAATACCTAATTGCTTCCCTGCCAGCCCGATTGACCCTAACTGCTGTGCCCTGCCGGCCTGGTCACCCCTAACTCCCCCCCCCACCTGGAAGCTTGGTCACCCCCAACTGTCCTCCCCTACTGGCCATCTTGTGTCCACTTGAGGGCAGCGATCTTGTGTGTTGGAGTGATGGTCAATTTACATATTACCCTTTTATTAGATAGGCTTAGATGAGGCTCTTGAGCAAATTTAAGCCTCATACAGATGCACTATGGTTAAAGACACAATTAATGCAGGTAGGGAATAAATGCAACAAAACTTACAACTAGATTTTATTTATACCCTACTATATACAATTATTATTATTAATTTGAAACTAGATACTGGTGCTAGTAGATGAAAGTGTTATGAAAATCCTGGATCAGCCAAGAAATGCAGTAAATGTAGATTTAAATTCATAAAGACCATTAATCATAACAAAATGCCTGCTTTGAAAAGTACAACTATGTTTGGATTCGGTGTTCTATTTTTAAGCCTGGATAGAAAAACCTCAAAGCAGCACATTAAACATGTTCTCTGCTAGAATGAACTTCTAAGAAGCAACGTTCTACGAACATCACAAAGGTACTTACAGTGGTAAGTTAATTCATATGTCAAGCCTTTAAGCCTTCACTAATTTCCAGAATCCAAAAAGCACATACCTAACACAATTAAAAAGACACTCAAAATTTATAAATAATTGTCAAGCAAATTATTTACTCCTCAAAAAACTCAATACTCACAGATAATGATCAGGATCAAATTTGGCCAGCTCAGCAGCCACGCGTTTCTGCCTGCGTTCAGCTGCAGGAGTAAAATCTGGATCCTTAATATCGATGACATCACTGAATTCATCCTAAGGACACCAAGAAAGAATAATTACTATCTCTTATTTTAGCACTGGCAAGTCTAATTTTGCAGAAATTGTCAAAACACAGGAAGAATCTAATTGATCAGTAAGCCATGAAACTACCTGTGACATTTTGATTCAAATCCAGCAAATGTTTGTTAAACATCTACTATGTGCCAAGCAAAAAGTATCTGATTTAATCCTTACGCCAATCACGTGTGTATGTTTCAATCGGTCATTGTTGATTGTGAATTTGGTTGATAGTTTTATCATATAGTGGCGAATAGTGATATTAACATATTTCTTCTAATTCATTTCCTTTCAATGTACACGAATCTGTGCACCATGCCACTCGTCTACATATATAAAAGGCTCATATGTTAAGTGTCCATCCGATGGGTAGCTATGATGCACACTGATCACCTGGGGGCAGACGCTCAACACAGGAGCTGCAAGCTGCAGTGACTTGGCAGTGGTGGTTCTCAGTTGACACACCCAGAAACTAGAGAAGAGGGAGCCAGATTCCTCACGGGGCCATGCAATTCCACCTTTGGCTATGGGTTATGTTGTTGCTCAGGCACTGTGGGTTTACTGCCCACTTTGCACAGTGCCCTCTCACACTCTGGAATCCCTCTCGAGGGATGTCAGAGAGCCAATTTCAACCCGATCCCCACAGGCCAGGCCAAGGAACTCCACCTACTGAAGGGACCCTGCTCACTCTGCAGTCGTCCTTCAAGCCACAACACCATCCCAAGTGCAGCCAGCGGGGAAAGGAGTGCAGGAGGTTTCCGGTATATCTCACCCAGTCCTGCCCTGCCAGCCACCTTACCTTCTAATTAATTTCCTTTCAATGTGCACAACTGGGTCTCTACTGTTGAAATAAATTTCTAACTCAAGATGAAAGTGCTCCTATCCTAGGTGTCATGTAAACTAATCAAAACTTAGGTGATAACTTTCATGTCCCTGTAAGTGCTCTGCTTGACCAGAATGCAGTATATTCCCTTAGCCAGCCAATCCCCAAACACCAAACCCACTCTGCACTTTACTTACTTTTTTATTCTTTCTAGCCCAAAAAAAGGTTGACTATAGGGCCCCTGCCAATTGGATATATTTTATTTTTCCCTTCTTTGTTCTTGATTCTTTCTTTTATAATAGCTCCTTGTCTTCCATCTCATTTTGCAGTTCTCCAAGTAAATTGTCCGTCTCATGAAGCATTAACATTGTTTGTATTACCTACATCTTCTTTATTTTTTAACAGACAGAATGATTTGAATATCAGTCATTTATACACAGACTTTCCTTTCATTTCTTCCTTTGGTCTATCTCAGCTGGTCTCAAGAAGCACTATATAAAACACACAGAACTATACATTCTACTTTATTAGCATATTTAAAAAATTTTAAGAACAATTTTAATGGATATGACTTTCCATTTGAAAAGCTAAAAATATAACCTAAATAATATTCACCTTGACTGTAACCATCTTCTCCTAGATGTATACATATTTATATGTAACATGTTTCCTTAAGCAAATCCTACAGAAAAGTTATATTGGGAAAACTGCCTTTATGTTTTTTTATTCCAGTCAGAATTATGAAGTAAAGAAACTTATACCACACAAAATGTTTCTAAAACTATACATTTTTTCTTTCTTCAACCTCCCATTTCTACTACTAACCCCAAGTGAGAAGTAATGGAAATTAGAAAAAGCTTAAAGAATATTAACTGAAAAGAAATAAAGATAAATAATTTGATAGAGAGATGTACAGCAAACTATTAAATCAGATTTTGTAAGTGGAATGACAGGTTAGTGCCTATCAATCAGGCTTCAAGTCCATTGTGGTAATGCAAAATTCCCTACAATGAAATGAGCTATGCTAAATTAGCCAGGGAGAAACTAGGGTACACACTCTCGACCTAGTCAAAATTTCTGAATAAAAAATTCGCTCCTTCCTACCACCATCCATTGAGCTGAAGTGACCCAGTTGTGACATATAATCTAAGCACAATACATGATAAGGAGCCAAAGACCTTTCTGGAAGTTACAGCCACAATATCCTAATACTTCTAAAGAAACATTCAGAGCAAAAACCAGATATCTGGCCATCCCCAACCTTATACTGTATTATAGAAATGGGATTCTAAAGTTCTTTTTCAATTTATTTTTTGGAAACTTAGAATGTATTTTCCTATAGAAATACTATTACAAATAATAAGAGTCTAAGGGCAACCCATAAATGTCTTCAACTCTTAATAAACTACACAGAATACTCACAACAAATCCTACCTAATAAAAGAGTAATATGCAAATTAACTACCACCCTGCTACACAAGCCACTCCCGCCAGCCAATCAAGAGCAAGTATGCAAATTAACACAACCAAGATGGCTGCGGCCACAGAGTGAGCAGGCGATTTGTGTTTCCCCAGCGATGGAGGAAACCAAGCTTTCTGCAGACCCTGGCCAGCCCAGGCCTCTGCTACCAGGCTACAAAGTTTCAATTATAGAAGATAAATAAATCTCAAATACCAGGGCCTCTGCTTGGATTGCCAGGGGGCGTGGCTGACCTGCAAATCACCACAGGCCCCTCGCCGAGGCCTCCCCATGCCCCAAGGGAACCCCCACCCTGATCCAGGACACCCTTCAGGGCAAACCAGCCAGCCCCCACCCATGTACCATGTATCCTATCTAATAAAAGAGTAATATGCAGATTGACCATCACTCCATCACACAAGATGGCTGCCCCCATGTAGACACAAGATGGCCACAAGATGTCCAGGAGGAGAGGGCAGTTGGTAGGGATCAGGCCTGCAGAAGAAGGCATTTGGGGACAATCAGGCTTGCAGGGAAGGGCAGTTGGGGGGGAACCCAGACCTGCAGGAGGGAGCAGTTAGGGGTGACCAGGCCTACAGAGAAGGGCACTTAGGGGCAATCAGCCGGCGGGGGTGATCAGGCTGGCAGGCAGAAGCGGTTAAAGCAATCAGGCAGGCAGGCAGGCAAGAAGTTGGGAGCCAGCAGTCCTGGATTGTGAGAGTGGTGTCCGACTGCCAGTTTAGGCCCAATCCTATCAGACATCTCTCTAGTGGTCCCAGATTGGAGAGGATACAAGCTGAGCTGAGGGACACCCGGTCCCCCCCAATGCACAAATTTCATTCACCGGACCTCTAGTTGTTTAATAAGTACTCAACAATGTTTCATGGGAAAATACTTTCAAAGTTCCAGTTTAATCCACCAGAAACATCTCTTCCCCAGTAATGCAACTAGACTCAACCTTCCTCGTCCATTGAAAATTAGCTCCTCCAGCCATAGAGCTGGAAAGGGTGCTGCAGGAGGGCTTGAAGGAGACAAGTTATACTTTACCTACAGGACTTACCTCAGCTAGATGATTATGAAGAGTCATTTCCTGCCCCTGGACCCCAAGTCCCTCTCCCTAGCACCCTGGAGTCACTGCTTTATTTCCTTCTAGCCCCGAGAAGTTCCCTGAAACGCTCACGTGTGAGTACGCGCATGTGCACACACGCACACACACACACACACACACACACATTCTCAAAGCAACATGATTAAATAGAAAAACATGATTTTGAAGTTAGACAAACCTGTATTTATTTATTTCATTTTTTAATTTAAGTACTAGAGGCCTGATGCACAAAATTCATACAAGGGGCTCAGCTCCAGCCGCCACAGCAGCTGCCTCTGCTTTGGCCCCCACTGTGACAGCTTCATCTGGAAGGTCATCCCATCTAATTAGCATATCACACTTTTATTATTATATAATAGAGGCCTTGTGCACAAAATCTGTGCAATATTAGGCCTTCCCCCAGCTGCTGTCTTCCCTTTGACACTGTTGAAACGGGTTTCCTTATGACTGCTGGCAGACACCTAGGACCAAGGCTTCCCTCGCAGTGCCAGCTTCCTCCAGGATGTCCGCTGCAGCTTTGTCCCGAAGGAAGGACATCCGGGAGGACGCTGGTCTAATTAGTGTATCACGCTTTTATTATTATAGATAGTTCATATACAACGTCAATACCCTGTTTCCCCAAAGATAAGACAGTGTCTTATATTAATTTTTTCTCCCAAAGTTGCGCTAGGTCTTATTTTCAGGGGATGTCTTATCTTTCCATGCGCTAGGTCTTATTTTCGGAGGATGTCTTATTTTCGGGGAAACACGGTATTATAGGTTAAATTAGTTTCAGGTGTACCATACAGTGATTTGACATTTTTTGTATCTTACAATCTAATCATCCCACTATTTCTAGTAGTCATCTGTCACCAAGCAAACTTAAACAGTATTATTGACTATGTTACCCCTCACCTTTTCATCCATCTCCTTACCCTTTCCTCTCTAATAACCATCTCTTTGGTATCTGTCTACATGAATCAGACAGAGAACAACAAATACCATATAGTTTCTCTTATATGTGGAATCTAAAAATAAAAACAGAGGATTAAAAATGGCAGTGGAGTAAGTGGAAGCTATACTGACACTCTCCCAGGACCAAACTGGAAATACAACTGAAATGCAGAAAAACAACCCTGACAAATCAATTGAGGACTAGCTGGAGAGAACCCTGATAACCAAGGACAGAAAGTGGAGACCTCAGAGACTGGTAGGAGGTGTGGAGACAAGAAACTGGTGGCTGGGCTCCCATAGATAGCAACTGAAGTCCCAGAGGGATATCTCAGCTATTCCTACTGAGAACTCTGAGGTCTAATCCCCAGGCTGGGTGCGCCAGCAGAGAGCACCAGAACACAGAGGGGCTACCCAGTAACATCTGGCTGTGAAACCAACAGGACTGCTTTTCAAGTAGAGAGGGCTAGAAATGCAGGCAGCCTCATAAAGGGCCAATGCACAAAATCTCATATGCAGCCACACACCCAGGGCTCCACAGGGAACCCTGCTAGCGGTTCTCAGCCTGTGGGTCACGACCTCTACTGTAGAGCCTAAGACCATCAGAAAACACAGATATTTACATTACAATTCATTTACAGTAGCAAAATTACAGT